AAAAATATACTTGGTAGGCAGTATAAACTCCTGAGTGTGCAATTGCCATTAATTAGAAATATGACCTTGATGTCTAATATATTTAGGAGTCCTGGTGGCACAGTGGTTAAGAGTTCGGCTGCTAACCAAAAGGTCAGCAGTTCGAACCCACCAGCCGCTCCTTGGAAACCTTATGGGGCAGTTCTACTCTGTCCCCCAGGGCTGCTATGAGTCAGAATCGACTCGATGGCAATGGATTTGGTTTTGGTTTTTTTACCTTGAACAAGTCACTTAACTTCCTGAGCCTCAGTTTCCTCATCTATAAAAGGGATCAGTATGCCACAGTACATCTGCTTGAGCCTACGGGCTGGTAGAGGGAGCCTGGAATCATTCTGGATTTCATGATTTAGCTTCTTCTTAATCCCTGCAATCTTTCCGTCTCCATCCACTAACAAATCTGCTCTCTCTGAGCACCTCAGTGACCTTTAAGCCAAATCAAAAGCTTTTTCTCAGACAGTGTCTTTGGCTTTTCACAAGCATCCTGAAAAACGTCTCTTCTTCATTGTCTATGACAGCAAAGTCCCAGTTCTCCTCCTCAGTCTGACAGCTTTCGGCGTCTCATTTTCTCACTTGTCTTCTGCCTCCTCGTCCTGACCATGGCATGTCCTGAGCACTGGCCCGCAACCCTCTACACTGCCCTCTCTGTACTCTGTAAGGAACCCTCCTCTCACGAGCCTCTGCTCCCACCTCTGTGGGCAGGCACGTACAGAAATATCTGCTGACCAAGCCTCACGCTTCTTGCGGAGGAGAATTAGAAGACCTCAGTTGCATTCACGGCTCTGCCACTAACTAGATGAGTAACCTTTGATGGGGAAGAAACTTACTCTCTGAGCTTCTTCACAGCTAAAGTGTAGGCCCCAAAGCCCAAGCACCTTCTCCCAACTTCCCCATTTTATTAATGACACCGCTACTGTCCTAGGGTCAGAGTTTTGGTGCTTCCTTCCCCTTAAGCGTGATCCCGTCTGACCTTCTGTCTCTTATTTCTAAGTCTTCAGTGTTAGTAACACCGCTTGAATTCAGGCCCTCATTTAATACCCGAATCATCGAGAGCGCCGTTTAGTGTGTCACCCTTCCCCTCGTCTCCTCACTCCGCTTCTGTCTCTTTTCTGCGCTTCACACTGTTCACTACTGTCTTAATCTTCCCTTAGGACACTCCTGTTCGAGAACGTGTGTGGTTCTTAGTGGCGTACCATATCAAGACTGAGTTCTGTGGCCTCGTCCCCAAGACTCTCATCAATGTGACCTCAGCTGTGAGTCCCCCGAGTCTCAGTGAGCCTCCTGTACTTCATTCAGAACAGTCTCCTCCCTCTCTCCCTCCCTGGGTGACGCTCATGCTTTCCTCCTATCCTGGAGGTCTGGAATGTCTGCCCCTCCTCCTCCCAGATGATCCGTATTCCCACCGCTTCACGTGCTCAACCCCACATTCTCCAGAAAGCCTTCCCTTGAGCCCTGCAGCCCACACTGAGCTGGCTTACTGGATTGTAGCTGAGTGTACTGCAGGCTTCCTTTCTACCACTTCACTGTGAGCTCCCAGAGGGCAGAGCAGCTTGGGATAGCCCAGAACGAGCTAGCATGTGCAACGACTAACTGAGCTACTTAAATCTTTTCATCTCAACCTGAACTTGACCTCTTCTTGGAAACCTTCTGACCTCCCACTGCCTTTGGAGAAGTGGTCAGGGTTTAACTCTCGAGAGCAGCAGAGATGACTAGGGAAAGGAGAGAACCTGGAAGGGAGGCTGGCCAAGGATTCTTTTGCCCTCCACTTAACAAAAAACGCAGACTGGCTACTTAAGGAATGCTACTTAACCTTTAGTCAAAGGTGTGAAGTAGGCCAGTGAGCCCTTCCTCCTGTCCCTTTAGAGTCCTGGTGGGGCAGTGGTTAAGAGCTGGGCTGCAAACCAAAAGGCTGGCAGTTCAAATCCACCAGCCGCTCCCTGGAAACCCTATGGGCAGTTCTACTTCGTCCTGTAGGGTCACTATGAGTTGGAGCTGACTCAATGGCAATGGGTTTGTCCTGTCCCTTTGAGGTCCTTCCTTCCTTGCTTTTCCTCTAAGGCCGTGTTTTCATGGTGGCCAAAGCAGCCTACCCTGGTTATGCTCAGACCCCTAATTTTCCATCGGAAAACCCTTGTTCTGTGCCTCATTCCCTCAAGTTCCCACTCTCAGGGGGTTGATGTGTTGTCCTCGACGTATCCTGAGCTAATCACATAACCGTTCAGAACATTTTTGCTTTTTTAAATCTGTAAAAGCCTGGGTTGAGCCAAGCTGTTTCTAAATTCTTTCAGCTCTAAAATGTCACATGCCTATCTGAGGAGCACAGACCTGAAGAACAGTGGCTCAGGGTTTTCGTATTTATCCTTCGGAGTGTCGTTAAAGAACTAGATTATAAGATGTCTTGGGGACAAACGCCACTGTGCACCCTTTCTCGTGTAAGCCACCCCCACGTTCCGGGCACAGCTGAGCCCCCAGCAAGCATGCAGAGCAAGTGTGTACTTTACAGCGAGGTGCTCTGGGGACAGATCCTAGGAAGCATCCTCTTATCAAAAACAAGGACAACAGCTGGTGTCGAGGTTTGAGAGCCTTAATCTAAATAACATGAGAGAATAATGCTGAACGAATATTATAGTCAGGACGAGTAGCAATACATGGAAATTCAGCAGTTGTAAAAAACAAAACTCCTGAACTCCAGGATACCTAAGAAGCCCTATGTGAGGAGTCAAATTCCATTGCATTGAACGTTACAGCACAATGTTACCTAAAGATGTGCTATTTGCCGTCAAGGGCTCAATCACATCAAGCAACCATCTCTGTAAGGTTCAAACCATTTTCCAGTATGGTTAAAACAAATCGGACAGGCCTTTGAGTTTGTCTTCATAATACATGGCTGCAGACACAACCTGGAAGTCCAGTATTTAAAGAGAAGTTGTAATCTGTTCATTAGGGTGGGTGCTATCTCACTGAGGCAGCTGTTTGGCCTGCACAGTGTTGGCTTCACACAGTTTAAAAAGATTTTTAAAATATAATCAATAACATTTTAAAATAAAATGGCATAAGGCAAGGTTCAAAACGCTTTGGGTCATATGCTACCACTTATGTTAAAAAAAGAAAAACAGAAAATGTAGTTGAACTTGCTTCTGTGTATGCTTAAAATATATCTGGAAAGAGAAAACAAAAAGACTTGTCTGACTCTTGCTGGGACATGTGGGATCACTTTGCAGAAAGCAGTTCGACCTTTGTTCTGGGTTCTTTCAAGCCAGACCCACACCTGAGGCTAATGAGTGAGGGCTGAAGGCTAACCGGACCAAGGGAACCACCTAGGGCTCAGTGCTGACTAAGCCTCATGAGGCATGATGTAATTTATCATGGCCACATGTAGAGGCTTACGAGTTCCCTGAACCCTAAGGCTCAGCTAAGCTTCCTGGTTGGTGACCATGCATAGGAAGAGGGTAGCATGCCCCCCTTTCAGACATGGAAGCTCTGGGCTGAGACCACTCCCAGGCCTCACCCTATGCATCTCTTCATTTGTATCCTTTTTGGTTGCAATAAAGCTGTGGCTGGTATAAGTGTGGTTGGTATACTGTCTGTGAATTCTGTGAGTTATCCCAGTGAACTAACAAACCCACAGGCAGTGAGAACCAGCAGGGGCTGGCATCTGCCTATTTGGCAGTCTGAAAGAAGGTATCCTTCTAACATGTGAACTCTGACCTAGCTCTGGGTGACTATCTATCAACCCGTTACCATCAACTCAATTCCAGCTCATAACAACCCTATAGGGCAGAGCAGAACTACCCCATAGGGTTTCCAAGGAGAGGCTGATGAATTCAAACTGCTGACCTTTTGGTTAGCAGCCGTAGCCCTTAACCACTGCGCCACCAGGGCTCCTTTCTGGGTGACTAGGGTTCAAGAGGACCCCTGGTGGTACAGTGGTTAAGGGTTAAGGCTGCTAACCAAAAGGTCTGCAGTTCGAATCCACCAGCAACTCCTTGGAAATCCTATGGGGCAGTTCTACTCTGTCCTATTGGGTCACTATGACGCAGAATTGGCTCAAAGCCAGCCAGTTTGGCTTTTTGGTTTAAGGTTCAAGAAATGCTGCACAGGCAGCTGGTCTGAAAGAGCATCCATCTAACTTGTGAGCTCTGACCCAGCTCCAGAGGCTAGGATCAGACACAGAGAGTGCTGCGTGAGTGGCTGGCTCTGAGAATGGAGAAGTGGGAAGATGAGGACTGGCTCCATCCCCACATCTTGGAAATTGGATTCATGCTGATCCTTACCACACAGTTAGTAATGAAGGTGAATTCGAACTGCTGACCTTTTGGTTAGCAACCGAGCTCTTAACCACTGTGCCACCAGGGCTCTGGCAGGGCCATGAGATCGTTCTAACTTCTTAGTTAGTCTAGGGACCCAGACACAGGAAAGGAGTATTTCTAGTTTATGTCCACACTGCACCTGCAGAGGTGTTCGTGTCAAACAATTCCTCTTTCGTGTTGCCATTTCATTCAGAGATCCTGTGGATCCTAAACCTTCACAATAATAATGGTTGCCTGTGGAGAGGGGAATGGAGCCCAGGTGGTGCAGTGGTTAAGAGCTCAGCTGCTAACCAAAAGGTAGACAGTTCGAATCCACCAGCCGTTCCTTGGAAACCCTATGGGGCAGTTCTACTCTGTCCTGTAGGGTCACTATGAGTCAGAATCAACTCTTTTTTGGGTTTGGTGGAGAGGGAAACTTGGTGGCTGGAGGCCAAGAGAGGTAAGGAGACTTATCACTATGCATCCTTTTGTACTTCTGATTATTTGAACCATGTAAATGTATTAACTATTTTTTAAAAAAATTAGTAAGTGAATAAAATTAACAGATTGAAAATAAAAATCCACATTTCTATCTTCTCTTGAAACACTAGAAAATTCTGTATCAAAGAACCCGAGTGCAGAGTTGTAGCTGCTATTAGGTGTGTTTGGCAGTACCGATTTCTGTCTGGTAGTCCCTGAGGGTGTTGCAGTCATACATCTCCAGGCCCTGAGGGGTCCGGAGGCAGTAGACACTCACGGGGAAGCCACATCTCAGAGTTACCAGTGTTCTCAGATTAGACACTTTTTTACCAAGAAGAGAGATGCTCTCCATAATCAGCATTGTCTCTTGTGTTACAGCATTGAACACATAGAGAGTTGGCTTGTCTTCTTCCTAAGGGGAGAGAAAAGGAGGGAACTCAGGAAGAAGCCTGTTGGGAGGTAGGGATGAGTCACGCACATTTTAGAGGGTGACTGTGAGTGCCTCTAGCTCCCACAACACGGGGCAAAGGGCCTTTGCTTTCCTTAAAGTTGCCTGACTTGTATGAATCTTGCGCTTCCGCTTCCGTGCTGAGGCTCTGAAGGAGCCCTCTTGCTTTGAATAAAGTATATAAAACCTGGTAGGGTTGAGACCCTTCTTACTTCTCAGTCTACAGACTCAGTCACGGGAGAGAAGTGTTTCTAATTTATATCCACACTGTGCTTACAGAGGCGTTTGTTTAGAACAAGAGCTCCATTGTGCTGTGATTTGATTTGGAAATGCTGTGGAATCTAAACCGGTAGGCAATTTTCAAAAATCCTTTCTGAGAGGTTATCCCTGGGGAGTAGACCTGAGTTAAGGGTGAGAGACGTGTTTTGTCTCATTTTATGCTCTTCATTGTATATACCCTTCGACTTCTTTTTTTTATATAACCACGTGTGTTTACTTTTGTTATTTAAAATGGGAAGTACTAAATAAGAAAAAAAAAAGTTGTCTTTGTTCCTTTTATTTTGCAATCTAAATAGGAAAGCAAGTGGAACCCAGATACCTGAAGGTAGAGTTAAGATGGAAAGTTTGGGAGGATATTAATCCTCTTGTTAACAACAGTTAAATCAAACCAAATCAGAACTAAACACACAGTAAATGGGAAAAACAGGGCGACTGGGGGGAGAAAGGGAGAGGAAAATATTACATTTTCAGTTTGCTAAGAGAAAAAAGAAACTGCTTACTCCTGCTTTAGTGGGCTGTTAGATAATGCTTTTCTTCAGTGCCCAGTTACTGGTTTGGCAGATGTGAGCGGACCGTGCTGCCTGCTGCAGACTGCTCCCAGAACACAGGACTGAAGAGGGGCCTCAAGCAAAATTAGGAGTGTCTGAGTGGTGTACACCATTACCATGTTTGGCTGCTAACCAAAAAGTTAGCAGTTCGAGTCCACCTAGAGGCTCCTCAGAAAAAAGTCCTGGCGATCTACTCCCAAAAAATCAGTCACCGAAAACCCTATGAAGCACAGTTCCACTCTGACATATACAAGGTCATTATGAGTTGGAATTGGCTGAACGGCAACTGGTGGTTTAAGCAAAATTGAGAAGCTGGCAATCGATTCCTTGAATCCTCTAGATTCTTTGTGGCCACTCCAGCTGACCTCTGCCCTCATCTCATCTTTCCATCCCATCTGTCCCTCCCTCTTATCTCCTATCAAAATTTGTCTCTGGTTCCTCCGGCCCCTCCCTGCTGCAAGCTTTATAATAGATTAAATTTATTCCTCTCATCCAAGATAACACACTGCCCTAATCTAATCAACATGTAGATGTCTGATGAAATTGAAAAGCTGCAAGGTTTTGGTTGAGGTCCCATTTCATCAAAATCAAATCTAATCACGTGGAGTAGGTGTGGGCCCTCTCCCGCCGAGCAGAAAGCCGGCCCAACAAAGCGAGCTGTTCGTTCAGTGTGCCAAAAGTGCTTAGGCCAATTTTTCGCGATGGTTTTTCATAAACTCCCCGGATACAATTAAAAGTATAGAAGATTCATCCTTTCCTCCTCACTGTGTTCGTGCTCCATAAGGCAAGTGTCTGCCCAAGCAAATTCAAGTAATAGTTACGGTCAGGCAGACGTTCCTAAGAGAATAGATAGTGGGCTGTTTGCATAGAAGTACCATTACAAACAGAAGTCAGCATGTAACTACTTCTGTTTTAAGAGATTGTTACTAATGTTGAAAATAGTCAAGTCCCACTTTAAAAAAAAAAAAAAAAGATTATATGCTTTATGAAAAAAGCGGTAAAGAGAAAAATGTTATGTAATATCTGTGCTATTTAATTCTTATTTTTCTTTATTCCTATGATATGGGGTAGGGTACTAATTTATATTATTTAGAATTAAATTCATAACATGTAAACAAAATAGCAAAAGCCCAAGTCACTCTAAACAGCTAACTAGTTACTATATTATGTTAGAGAAATAAGTTTAAAAAAAGATGTCCTTAGAATATGAATAAACATTTCTATATCTATAAAGGAACTCTAGAAGCCCTGGTGGCGTAGTGGTTAAGAGCTACAGTTCAAACCCACCAGCTGCTCCTGGGAATTCCTATGGGGCAGTTCTACTCTGTCCTATAGGGTTGCTAGGAGTCAGAATCGACTCGACTGCAATAGGTTTGGTTTTTTTTTTAAAGGAGCCCTGGTGTCGCAGTGGTTAAGAGCTATGGCTGCTCACCAAAAGGTTGGCAGTTCGAACTCCCCAGCCACTCCTTGGGAACCTATGGGGCAGTTCATAAGCATTCATAACCTAAATATACTCTGGAACAAGTAGTAGACAAAAAGGGGAAATGATGTTTGTTTTTGTTGAACGGAGGAAGTTCTAGTAGAGATGTCTCCATAAACTTCAACACTTGTAGGGTAGCCATCCTGGGGAAGCTATACTTGGGGTCTAAACCACTTTAGAAATGCCTTTCTTCACCATATTCTTTACCTACTTTTCTTGATGGCTTATCTCAGAAAAGATAGCCATTTTTTAGAAACATATTTTCATGTATAAAATGTAAATTGTAGAGAAACATACTTTATATGTTTTTATACATATTTTCACATATAAAATATATTGAAAATATAAATTCGCATATATAACTTCTGGATTTGGGTGGTTCTACTTTAGACAGTGCCATCTGAAAGCTAACATACCTATCATTCTGAGTCGATTTTAGACCTACCAATATAGTACAAACTTCTCCAGCCTGTCTGATGGACATCTGTGCCGTGGTACCCAGTTAACACAATTGCTCATCATAAAACACCTCTCCTAACATTCAATGTCAGAGGGATTAACTAGTTTTGACCCTAGCCCTCGGTTGATGGAAATATAGTCATAAAAGGCAGCAGGAAAACCACAATACACTTTAGAAACCACAATTGCAAGCTGGTTGTTTCTCAGCTCCCTTTGCAGTAGGCACGGGCGTGTGCCCAGGGTGCTGCCAGCCAGGCGTGCCTTCCTACCCTACTTTCAATTAGGAGCCGATAAGGCAGAGGAGTCCCTGGGTGGTGCAAATGGTTAAGTGTTTGACTACTAGCCAAAATGTTGGCAGTTTGAACCCACCCAGAGACGTCTCAGAAGACAGGCCTGGCAATCTGCTTCCGAAAGGTCAGGAAATGTTTTACTGAAAACAAGCTAGCAGCCCTCTGGAAATATTTTACCCCAAACAAGCTGTCTTTGACAGAATGTTCTCAGAAAGAATGTCTTATACTTACCTCGTGACCACCCATAGCCTTGGAAACGCTATGGAGCAGTTCTACTCGGCACACATGGTATTGCCATGAGTCAGACTCCATTCACGGTAACTATAATAGCAATAACAACAACAAGGCAGAGAAAGAGGAGGCACAGAAGGTCCTTCCTGGGTGTGGCCATTCTGAAGCATGGATGACGTGGCCACAGAGCCGGCAGCAGTGTTCAGTGCCTGCAGAGAGGGCTCAGGGTTGATCTCCCTGGACTAGTTCCAGGGCATGATGTAGATGTCGTTTCTGGCTGCGTAACCTCCGAGCCTGGTTCTCCGAGCTCCCTGGTAGGACTGTGAACTACTGAGTAGCCTTTCAGTATGTTTATTTTCTGCCTAGTTTATCCAGGCTTTGTTCCTGCTGCTTGCAACTAAAGAATTCTGACACTGGATAGCGAAAAGGGCAAGAATGCTGAAGAGCATCTTGTCCTGCAGGTAGACAGGGAGGAGTGATGAGCTGGGAACGAGGGAATCCAATCCCTGAAATACATCTTGTCTGAGAGCAAGAATGCATACTCTTGAAATAAAAGTAAAGCGGTTTATTGAAGGTTCTCAACAGTTCAAACCGGGGATGCATCTGATCTCACAAAGTGAAACCAAACACTCTAAAATGGTGGAGTCACAGAGGCATATTTATGAGATGAAATCAGGAAGCAGAAGGCAGGACAACTCAAAGCCGGGTGGGAGGGGTGGGGGATGCTTTACAGTAATTGGTTGGAAACACATATGCGGGCTATTTGGATTGGTTAGTTTTGTAATTATAGAAATATGTGACTAGCGGTGCTCACAAGGTAAGTATAAGACATTCTTTCTGAGAATGTTCTGTCAAAAATAGCTTGTTTGGGTAAAACACCTCCTGAGGGCTGCTGAGATAATTTCTGATAAGGGTCTTGGGTCAAGACCCTCCCTTAGGAACATTCTTTCCATATCTTTAGTCTAACCACAGAGAAAAACGTTTTCTTTGTTATGTTTAAGTCTGTGTAAATGTTAATCTTTGCAGGGGGAATCCATTGCTATGTACTTGTGTCTGTCTGAAGGTTAATGGTTGCAGGGGAGATAAACAAAAGCTAAGACGGAGTTGGGGTACAAGCCTAGACCAGTCATTCTGAAACCAGTTACATGCCGCAATTTTGAAACTCCCACTCAGTCTCAATACCTTGCTATGAAATTTCTGACCACAATTTTGTACCTTCTTACTGCTTTAGGAAATAATAGTGGAATCATTATTCCCTGTCCTTGAGTATAGAGAATGTGACCCAGCTGGAGCTGGGCTCACAAGGGCTGGCAAGGACTCACAAGGACTCACAAGAACACGTCAACTAGGCCCTGAGATAAAGACAATAGCTAGGATAATCTTGGAAAATATCTTTTAGGGAACTTTCACATAGACCATTCAAACAGAACACAAAAGACTCTCCATTCTTATCTTTTTCTATTAGCATTCAGTGAATACAAAATTTGTTGGACCAGTGAAGACCCTCCTGACTGTTGTTACTGAAACCTGTACCAATGATTGTTCATAAAGACAATTCAAAATGTAGGATCACAGTTTCTAGCCAATCTGTGAAATGGGGACGCTTTCAATGGTTTTGCCCATTCGTAAGGTTAATATATACTGATGGTTCTGTAACACTCCTTGGACTCGGGCAGACATGGCTGCAGGAGTTTGCTTGTCCATTTTCCCTCTCTTGTCTATTCTGTAATATTTCCTTGGACTCGGGCAGACATGGCTCTGGCAGCATGATTGTCCGATTTCCTGCTTTTGCCTCTTTGAACATATGCCGAATAAAACTTTCTTTTTGCTTTACTAAACTTTGTGATGTTTTTACCCAACAACATTGCTAATTTTCATACTTTGCTTTTCATGGCCTTCATCTATGCATTCATTCACCACATATTTATGGAGAGACTACTACGTGCCAGGCACTATCCAGGCAGCGGGTGACAACGGTGAACAAAACTCAAAGCACAGTTTCCACAGCCACACAGGCTAGAATGAAGGAGGTAAGGGCGATAGCACCTCTGTGTGTCTGCCAATAACCTAAGCTTTTGCAATGTGCTTTGTGCCGTGGTTTACAGGAACACAGTGAACTGAACAGCATCAACAATGAATGGGCAGGGCTGCCTACTGGAGATACATGCCATGGAAGATAGTTCCTGTTCTTTTTCAAGAAGGGAAAAGTTAATGCAATGTTCTTTCCCCACTATCCTTGTGTTGCCTCCCGATTCACTTTTCCGAATGTGTTTACGTTATCGTCGAAGGAGGAAGTGTGATAGTCAGGGAAACTGGAAAACGTACTGACAATTAAAGAAATGTATTAAAGGATAGAGCACCTGTTCATTTATCTAATGTCTTCCCCTATTTTTACACAAGCAAAATTTGTAACCCACGTAAACATATAAGCACAATACCAATACGAAATATTTTGGATTTATTTCATGGCACATACTTACTGACACCTTTCAAAAGGAAATAATTGCTTACTTACCAAGTTTTTAAACTCTGCAAAAGTTTTTGGTTCACATTGTGATATTTCTAAACTGTAGCAAAATAAATTTAGAGGCTCTAGCTTTCTTAAATTCTCAGAAGGTAGAACTAACTTGCATAAAGTAACATCACAACCAGTCAAAAAGGAAAGGTACTACTTATATTTGTTTACATCTAATTAAGCAACGAAACAATAACATGACCTAGAAAGCAGCTGATACTATTTTGTACCTGAGGTAGAGCAAACAGTATAGAACGGGTATGACTGCATTCTTTGAGGATATTTTCACGAAGTACTTTTGTTGTTGTTTGAGCTGTTACAGCATATATACAGTACATCATGTGACTTTTGGAATTGGCCTAACTTATCACCTAATCTAAACTGGAGTTAAAGGAGCCCTGATGTGGCAACGGTTAAGTGCTTGGCTGCTATCCAAAGGTTGGTGGTTTGAACCCACCCAGCAGCTCCTCGGCAGAAAAGACCTTGTAAAGACTACAGCCTAGAAAACTCTATGGAGCAGTTCTACTCTGTCACATGGGGTCACTATGAGTGGGAAATTGACTTGCCGGCACCTAACAACGACAATAACCAGGAACTAAGTTAGGATGAAAAGCAATATTCAGGGCTTTTGCAGATAATTCTCTTCCTTCAGATTGAAGATAATTGTTTTCCTTCCTAAAACTAGTGATAAGAAATTCTCTAAGTATCATTCCACTGAGAAGTGTGGCAGTTAAGAACTGGAGAGTTGTTAATTAAACCCTCTGTGTTGCCCGATTCCATGACTCATATTCTGCTTTCACTCTTAAATAAACTCTTTTACTTCTACATTCTATTCTTGCTATTTGTTGCCGCTGTTACCTGCCGTGGAGTTGGTTCTGACTCATTCTTGCCATGAGCTGTTTAGAACTTCAGGGAAGTGTTAGAGTTAAGTGAAAAGGCAGCTTGTATCACTATGACAGATCGTCTTTTATCTGCAGAATCTATGAAATGTTTTTGTAGGTAAAACTATGACTAGAAGTTTCCTCTAGGGCAGGAAACAGGGTTGGGGGTAGGAGAGAGACCTTTTACTGTGTATCCTTTTGTTCCTATTGAATTGGAGCGCCATGTGAATGCAATACTTAGTCTAAATAAAATTTAAAGTGTTTAAATAATAATAATAAAACCAGAGTCAGCCCTTAGTTAAATAAAAGCACCGAATCCTATTCATTCTATTAACACACTATCTACCTTCCTGAGCAGCCATGATTTAATTAGATTCCTCCATCCAGCTCAAATATTGGTAGCCAATTTATACTACTGCCTCCAAGCAAACCCTACATTCCACTCTGTCCTACAGGGTCACTATGAGTCAAAATCGACTTGACAGCAACAAGTATGTTGTATGAGTATGCCTCCAAGCAAGCAAACTACAAAAACGTCTTTAACAACTTTAGTGGCATTGCAAAATTCCAGGAAATTTGAGAGGATAGATCTTGTACACTACTGAAAACACAGTATGTAAATAAATTTATCGACACAAGAAAGGACACAGAGTTTGGTCTGCTCAAAAAAGGATATTATACTACAATTTTCTGAATGTATAACAGAGGGAGAAAAGTGGAAGAACTTAGAATTTTTTTAATTTCCTTTTTTGGTAATTAAACATTTTTCAAGATTATAAAAATAATACATGAATAAATGCTCATAAAACATTAAAAACAAAGATGAGGGTTTTTTGTTTATGTAAATGGATCATACAATGCTTGTTATTCTGTGACTTGTCCTTACTACTTAACAATAAATATTGGAGAGTATTCTTTTTAAACAAAGACTTCCCACTTGGACAATTGGTAAAACACATTAAAAGAAAAGAGTTAGCTCTAGCTACTGTTGTAGGGAAAAAACATCATAAAGTTGAATAAAGCAAAAAGTAAGTTTTATTCGGCATATATTCAAAAGGACAGAAGTGGGAAACAGATAATCATGCTGCCAGAGCCATGTCTGCCCGAGTCCGAGGAAATGACACAGAGCAGGCAAAAGTGGGAAAACGGACAAGCAGGCTGCCCGAGTCCAAAAGAACAGTTACAGAGCCATCAGCATATATTAACATTACAAATGGGCAAAACCACTGAAAGCTTAGCCTTTTCAGATTGACTAGAACCTGTGATCCTACACTTTGAATTGTCTTTCTTAACAATCATCGGTACAGGTTTCAGGAGGGTCTTCATTGGTCCAGCAAATTTCTATTCACTAAATGCTAACAGAAAAAGATCAGAGTGGAAAGTCTTTTGTGTTCTGTTTGATTGGCTTTATGTGAAAGTTGCCCTAAAAGATATTTTCCAAGATTATCTTAGCTATTGTCTTTATACCACAGGGCCCAGTTGATGTGTCCTTGTGAGTCCTTGTGAGCCCAGCTGTAGCTGGGTCACATTCTTTATGTTCAAGGAGAGGGAATAATAACTCCAGTCTTATTTCCCAAATCACTACCATACAAGATTGTTTAAAGGCTCTTCTATTTAGTGAAGAATATGTGCTTTACTAAGTTTCTTGAGGTTAGGGTCATGTCTTTCTATAGAGTGAAGAAGTAGCCCCGGATAATACTTCTACTCTAGAGCAGCCGTTTTTAAATGCTTTAGGCTACCTCTCCTTTAAAATATTGTTGAAAGTTATGGATCCTCTAGTTGAAAGTTCTCCAGGCACATAATTTTGCATATTTTGGGATCTTAAGAGGGCCTTGGTGTCACAGTGGTTAAGCGTTCACCTGTAACCAAAAGGTCGGCAGTTCAAATCCACCAGTTGCTCCTTCGAAACCCTGTGGGGCAGTTCTACTCTATCCTATAGGGTCGCTATGAGTTGGAATCGACTCGACGGCAATGGGTTTAAAGTTCTTAAGGAGTCCCTGGGTGGTGTAAACAGTTAACAAGCTCAGCTTCCAACCAAAAAGTTGAAAGTTGGAGTTCACCTACCTTGGAAGAAAGGTCTGGCAATCTACTTCCAAAAAAATCAGCCATGGAATACCCTGTGGAGCACAGTTCTACTCTGACACACAAGGGGTCGCCATGAATTGGTGTGGGGATATATGCCATTTAAACATGACTGTACTATTGACAACTGCAGCCCCCACAGGCCTCTATGCTGCACAGCATGTTGAGACTTGTCTCCAAAATGTCGAGACTTGTCCGGATGTGTTCTCCCAAACCCTATTGTCCCTTTACTGATTGACTTGTTTACCTGAATTCCTTCTTCCTTGCCC